AGCGAGAAATTCAAATTATATATTTATAATGATTTATAATAATTATAATAATTTGATAAACAAAATCCAAAAATTCAAAAAACAAACTAAGAATTGTTTTCAACATTTGGCACATTTCATAATAGACAAATTTTCACCTTACCTCATTCCTTTACGTGAGCTCGTGACGAAATGCCCCAGTTTGATTGTGCATGGCTCCTAACCACAAGGCTTCTTCATCATTGAGCCCAACATATATCCTGGCCACCCTTCCGCTGTAGTTGGCGTTGAGGAAATTTCTCACGAAGATGTTTCGTAGCCAAGACAACATGAGTTCCACCGAGAACTTCATATTTATATTCATCTATCTTTTCCAACTCAAACTGGTCTTTCTTGGTAATTCCTTTTTCCAAGACAAACAGCGCTTCATAATTCCCAGAGGGTTGCTCACTCATGTTTTTAATCAACTGCTCAAGGAAGGCGGTGTCTACTTCTCTTATCTGTCTTTTCTTTGGAGGGAGGATTAAATTGTCTGGAAATAAATCTGGAAATAAAAAAGAACGACAATGATAATACTATTGATCATTATGTTACAACGATGCTACCACTTCCACTAATGATAATAATAATAATAATAATAATAATAATGATAGTGGTTGTATCAAAGATAACAATAATAAGAGTAATAATAAATAATGATGATAATAATATTAATAAAAATAATGATAGCAATAATCCAACAAAAATGGCAACATCAACACTTAAAAAAAAAAGATTTTTCAACCGCATATAAGTCTCACATATGCTATATGCATCCTATTTTGACCACATTCATCAGTTAACTCTATTGGTTTACAGTCTATCAGGCAGCCAGAAATTCCTGATACAAATGCTTCACTTATTATTCTTTCTCGATCAAAAGCAGGTAACATTTGATATCATGCCTGTTATTATTAAATAAATTAAAGACTGAGAAAGATCAACGTTTGTATGCGGCCGTTGTTCTGCATGGGAAGGGTCATGATCCACTTCAAGTTCCTCCAAACTCTTTTTGATCCCGTTAGCGAGTTCGTCGGCCGTTTTGCTCACAATTTTCTTAAACGAATCGTCACTTGCAAACCTATTAAAATACCGCGGGTTCACAGATCCAAACCGATACGCGCCCCGTGAATTTATTGGAGTGAATTCGAGCTGAAAGAAGAATGAATACAGTGAATTGATAGATCAGTAATTTAGCCATAACCTGGATTGAATGGGAATTTAGAGTCGAATGTCAGCGATAAATGTATACTGTATACTTTAAATCACCTTGAGTTTCTTCTTGGGAGGTGATGCTCCAGATTCTTCAGCAACAGAACCTGATGAGTCTTGGTATGATTCTGCTCCGATTATGTTTAAGAAATTGTCCACTCTTTTTCCTCCTCTGTATAAATACGCGGCTCCCGAATTCACTTTAATGCACTGCAGTTTCGCTTCATTACTGCGCCTATCTTTTGGAGGCATCTTAAGTAGAAGGTTAGTTTACGACCAAGGCTGATCAGTTCTGGGATACACTCCTGAAGACATGTAGACCTGAAGACCTCTTATCGCGAATCATCATTGCCTTTTTTTATACTACTGGGGAACCAATAAAAGCAGTGATGAAAAGAGTCGCGATGAACTGCATTTCCGTCAAAGCTTTTTACACCTTCAGAATAATTTAAAAAGGTGACATTTTCCTGTGAGAACCAGTCGACGCAACTTAAAAGCTGTCTTGACACTTCCTGTTGTTTTTGTGTTATAACTGTGAGGCCTTGTCCACGCTATGCCTTTTAAATTTTGGTATTAAATCGTCGTTTCCTTCCAATCGTGGGAACAGTTAATTTTGTTTTCGCCCACACTCCAACGATCTCTGGCGGTATCATCGGGCATATATACATAACAAGGTCTGAATCAAACAAAAACCGCGGGCGTTTTGAAAATGGCTCCATGTTCGGTTAATACTTGATCAACTTATGTGCACGGTAGGCCAGTCAGAGATTTGAAGTAGCGATTTCAAATTTATCCACTTTGAAAAGTGGATACAACAGTGTTTAAAGGGGAAAAAATATCGCTGAAGATTCCATCTTTGACATCAAAACCCACAACAAGCCGACCGAGACCTCCCAATTTATGCACTTCGCCTCGTGCCACCCACTAGGCGAAAAATATGTTCTCACTAAGGCGAAGGAATAAGATTGCTTCGGACTAACTCTTCGAAAAAACATTTGAAATTCAAAAAACGCTTCAAAGCATGAGGGTACCCAGAAAACATCATAGGAAGGACTCTTTCGGGGGTCAACAATCGGCTCTTTCCCATACACAAAAGCCAAAAGGTCACGAACGATTGTTGCCTTTTGTCACAACGTGCCACCAGCCGGTCAAAAAATTAAATAATAATATTGATGAAACATTGGAGTCTGATACACAATCAGCCCTTGATGAAAACAATTTTTACAAAACCTCTGATCATCTCTTACAAAAAGGGAAAATCCCGCTAAAGATATGCTTGTGAAAGCAAAAATATAATTTGAAGGCGATAATACGACGCGACCAAGAAAGCCTCATGGGGAGTCCGTGCCGGTCTTTCTTTACCTTTATTCTCAAGAAAGAAAAAGTGTTTCATTTCCTTTCTTCATCTGACAATTACCGGTGCGGCTAAACACACAACAGTAAATGACATTTTCAGTAGATCATCCCGCAGTGAATCAAAGTTAGGTCTACTGGTGAAGTATACGTATACCGTGCTCGACAGCGCCATGCCTTTTCTGGTTTTAAAAGCAAAATTTAGAGGCGAGAAATCGGCTGAACGAAACTTGCGAACGAAAGCCATTAGCGTGTTAGTATTGATTTTAAACAGTTTGGCTATTTTAAAGTTCACACGGCAACCAGGTGGACAATCAGACATAGTTTGAAGCTACACTGGTTTGCAGATTTAATGAATGTAACCGAAGAAGTTACAATTCATAGACCCAACGTTTCGACACTAAAAAATTTAAAGGAGCGTGGGCGGAGTTAATGTGCCATGCCTCCAAACAAAGGCGCTGGTGGTAACGCCGATTAGTGGTGATAATTTTAGAATTATCCCACCCAATTGTATGGTTGGTTAGGCAAGTGTGCTCCGATAAAGCTGAAGTTTCCTTTTTGCGAAGAAAAACCGCTTTTTGGTGCTCTTTTAACCGTGTACCAAACTGGCGTTTGCTCTGTCCGATGTATTCGTTGTCGCAGTCATTGCAAGGAATAGAATAAATGGCGTCGGTTCGTTGTTCTTTCGTGACAGGATCCTTAGGTTTGGCGAAAATATGCCCCAAAGTCTGAAAAGGTTTTTGAGCAACTTTAACGTTGTGGCTATTCAAAATTCTCTTGATGGGTTCAGTAACACCCTGTATGTAAGGAATAACAGCAAAACCAGTCGCTGGTTCCCTTTCATCAAGAGCGTTACTATTTGTAACTGGTTTTTGGCAGTTACGGAGAAAAGTTTTTGTATAGCCATTTGCCTTTAGGACATTGGAAACATATTTCCTCTCCTCAGCCTTCGAATCGAGTGATGATGGTAGACAATCAGCCCTCCTAAGTAAAGTTTTGGCTACAGACTTCTTATGGCAAATAGGATGGTGAGAATCGAAAGCGAGGTATTTGTTGGTGTGGGTGGGTTTACGGTAGACACTTGTCTCTAAATTACCCTGAACCCCTCTGGACACATTTAAATCAAGAAAGGGCAAATTTCTATCCTTTTCACGTTCAAGGGTGAATTGGATCGACGGCTCTACTGAATTCAAATGCGACAAGAGGCGCTCCGCTTCATTTCCGGATACCGCAGCAATAACATCATCGACATATCGTTTCCAGAAAAAAGGGTTTAACCGGTGAAGTGGCTAAGGCCCTTTGTTCCACGTCTTCCATTACCATGTTAGCAATGACAGCAGAAACAGGCGAACCCATAGCTGTACCAAAAACTTGTTGATAGTATGTGCCGTTATATGTAAATTTAATTTATATGTAAATTTAATTTATATGTATTTTCGCCAAACCTAAGGATCCTGTCACGAAAGATTGGTTTGAGGACAGATCATAAATGCGCAATGTAATTTAAAGCCCCTAACTGATCACGGATTGGTGTCGCAGAAATCTAGCTGAACGTACGTATTGCGAGTCTTACTGTTTCTCTTGCTTCTCTTGCGCGGAGAAGAAAATACTGGTTTGCAGGCTATATAACCAAAGTCTGTGTGATATACTTTCAACGGTAAATCCATTTATTTCAAGAAAAACGTAAACCTAGATCCAGTTTAACTGTTAATTGTAAAATAACCTCAAATTCGGAAAAAATTATATGCATGAGTGTCAATGTTGACCATACGACGCCGACTTATTGTCTTATCACAGATGCTACGAGTATTTCTCTTCACGATGCCGATACTTCATTGGGGCATGACGAAACGCCACAGGGTGAGGAAATTTTGATTTTCAAATTTTATAGTGAAGCTCGAAAGAGAGGCGTTTTTGATCTCTGAGAAATGCAACACATCCTTTTGTGTTCTGCCTCATTCTTCAAAGCATGCCGACGAGGTGGACTTCTGTAGCCCTTTATTCTGTTTTTGCCACAACTTCGTAAATCTAATGTCGGTTTTCTTATCTGACACAGATTTTTTCCTGCGATTCTCTCCACGATGCAGATTCCTCTTTGAAAGTTCTAGAAACAGAAAAATGTGAACCAGATTGTGCACCTCCAGGTAAATAAGAAGCCCATTTTTTTTTCCGCCGACATCAATGGTAAGAAATTCCAAAGACAGTCATTTTAGTCTTTTAGTAGATTTATTTTCCAAGTTTCTGTATACCATGAAATCTTAAGGTCAGAGTTCTGCAGTGTCGATAATCCAGCGATTTTAAGGTATGTACAAGCTCGGAAAATTCGTTCCCTAGAGAATAAAAATAATTTTTGGAGTCGCTTGACATTTCTGAACAAACATCTGGTACTCTAACGAAGTTTGAAAGGACCTTTCAGTAGCAATTGTATGAAAATTTCCGACTGCCGGACATTAAGACACTGCGTTAAAAGTAACATCAAACACACAATTACATTAAAGTGAAACAGATAAGCAGGCAGTCAACGGCCTCTACAAGTTGCTCAAGCGAGCAAAAGCAAATTTGGCCCTAGAAGCTTTAACTTTTCGTCACATTTATTGTACTTTCAGATCATCATTGGCTCATTTCAAGTGTCACCGGGAAAAATGTTTTCCTTCACCTATCAAAATCAGAAAATAAGTTCATTCAGTGGCTTACGAACATAGCAGCAGCCACTGTGAAGTCATTTCTTAACAAACACGTGGATTTTATCATAACTGATCGAGAAGAAACTGGGAAAAAGTCATTTCACAATAAGCTAAAAATCTCCAATGAAAAACGAAGCTCTCTGATGCTTGGAATTGCAACTACTAATGTACCAGCAATAAGAGGATCGTCTTCCGTTTTTAAAATTGCGTCTACTTGGAACATAAAAATCTTTAAATATACTGATCTAGTGTCTTGCATGGAAGAATACCAATATAAACCAATCCGGCTGGGTGCCCATTTTAGGATCAATACAAAGGGCCTTGTTCATGCACTTCGCAATCCTTTCGTAAAGGTAGAGGATCAGACAAGGAAATACAGACCAGATATTGTTGAGATGAAATCATTCCCATACCTTGACTTTGATAATGAGGGGACATCATCACCATTCGATACTTAGTTTAGGCAAAATAGATTATGATTACCAAAAAAAAACAGAACAATAACACATTATTAACAGTTCTAAAGCCTTGACATGCCGCATTTTTCTCACCGTAGAATACGAGGGATATCGGTTGGTTCTATCTTTGTCGTAATTTAGATTATCAAGCATACGTAATAATACAATGTAATACAATAAATTGGCTTGTTTTATTACGCTTTTGTTCGTTTACTGCGCAAAGGGCAAGTTAATCAATGTTATTGATCAAAATTCAAGGTTGCCTTCGTCTTCAGTGATTATACTTTCAACGAAGACTTGAACAAATTTTAATTTCCATTTAATATGGTCCCATAATTTTTTCTCAAATTTAGATTTATCTCCTAGACGAGACGAGGAAATTTTGTGGATCATTTCCATTAACTGTTGCGCAAAAAAGTGCATGAGGTAACTGTCTGTAGAAGACAAGATATGCTGAAGCAAAGAAAAAGGCAGGAAAGCGAACTATTTTTTAGAGTACCTGCATCAACACAGTAGCTCTGATGATTCTAATGAACTACAAACTGAATTTTATGTAAAAGGAAAGATTGTGTGTAGGGAAGCATGGCTTCTTGCACACAATTTAAATAAGGAAACCTTTAGACGTATTTGGGGAAAATTCAAAGATGGTGCAAATGTGCTGGAGCATTGGAATAAAGGAAGGAAGTCAATCACTAGCAAGACTGCAGATTGCATTGCCTGGTTGCAGTTTTTTGTTAGCTGTGTAGGGGACCACCATTTACCATTTATTTGGCATCCATTTACCAAATGCTTTACTAAAAGTGACATTTACAAAAAAATGCTGGAGGAAAATAAAGCACTCAGTCAGCCAACAGTATCCCTTTCTCATTTTTATGGCCTATGGGAAAGGTATTTTCTTCATGTCACCATTCCCAAGGTAAGTGGCACCAGATATGCAATAGTTTTCAGTATGATGATGACTAACACGTACAGGTGTGTGTATTTTACAAACCATTTAAGTAATAATATCATTGCTGTTCCAATACATTAATTTGACAATGGCACCCAAAGAGAATATGAAAATGTGTTAGATATTGAAACCTAGATAGCAAAATAAGGGGCCCTGTAGGTCATGACCACCTCTTATCCAACAATCATGAGTGAAAAAAGTTTTATTTTGTGGCTTTGTTTGGTCTGTAAACTGCGGAGATGAACCATGCCTAGTTTTTTCACATGTTATACCTCATACATGCAGAAATAATCTATCAATTTGAATCTTCTAGGAAAATCGCTTTACAAAATGCACAGACTGCACAAAATACAAGCAGGAGAAAGAGAAAACTGTGGACAAAGCCAGAAGAGCTGAAATTGATCACTTGCTGAAGCTTCATCTTGATTTAGTCTGGTGAGAGAAATGTTTAAAAAAGTACAGTTAGTTTGATGAACAAAAAATCTGTCACATCAAAAGCAATTCACTAGTCTTCTGGTCTTAAGAACTAATAATAATTTTTCCTTATATCACTAGGCAGGAAAGGAGGGTGTACTATCTTCACAGGTATAAAGCCAGGAGGTACCCATCAAAGTATGTGGCAAATATTGCCGATGGTATGGACCAACACACCACAAATGTCTCAAGTGTGCGCCGAATTACTAAGGCAATGTCAGCACTTACGACTGTGGGAACACACCTTGTTGGTTCCATTATTCACAATGGACAAGCACAAAATGGAAAGGAGATTTATGGGTCATTTGACTACTACCAGTATCAAGCACAAAATGGAAAGGAGATTTATGGGTCATTTGACTACTACCAGAAGTCCTTGTAAGATGGTCTGAGGAATTTGAGCTACCACCCATTCTCTTTCTACAGTTTGACAACTGTGTTAGAGAAAACAAAAACCGCTACATGTTTGCTCTATTGGCACTTCTGGTTGAAGAGAAAATTTTTGAGAAAGTATGTTATCTTGGGTAATTTTAAAAGAAATGCATTTGCCTCATTCACATTTCCCACAGGGCACTTTGTTCAAGCGTCAAAATGTCCCATTGCAATGTTTTCAAGGTCCATTTGGGTGGGAAGTTAGTTTCCATTTAATCTCAATTTTTGCAACTACTGAATGAATGTAACCTGAAGTTGAAATTAAAAAAAACAACACCACTTTTCCTTCTTGTATTTCAGATAAGAGTGAACTTTCTCCTTGTGGGACATACCCATGAGGACATAGATGCCTTTTTTGGGGTTTTTTCAAAGCACTTAGACAAACTGGACGTTTACACAGTCACAGGTAAGTTGTTCTAACATAAAGTAATTACTTCAAGGTACAGTTGGAGTAACTGAGAGGTCCAACAATCAGAACTGCCTGTGCAATGTGATAATCTTGTGTTGCAAATATTCACATAAGTTATCTATCAATATAAATGCATAGCAACTAGCACTGTGATCAAACAAATTTCTGCACGAGGCAAGAGCATGGTTCACAATTTAGTCAATAGAAAGTATGAACACTTCCACTTGAATTAACAGATTAAATGTGACATTGACATGTTATAAATTTGGTGTAAATGTTTATTTACAGAGTACATGTAAGATCTTAATTTATTTTACACTTCACTGTCACTTAGAATTACTGAAGGCACTGGAAACATGCATGAAGAATCCAACACCCAAGCCCTATATGCTCAAGATGGTTTATGACACAAAATCATGGATTAGTGATTATGGTAACCAGTCAACTCGCCGACGGACCAACTCGCCGACGCCAACTCGCCGACGTATAAAATCGAGTAGAGACGTCGGCGAGTTGGTGGTCAATCCAATACAACTTATTAGAAGTTAAACATACTGAAAAGTAAACGATATTTAGTGAAAAAACACTGGTGAACATTGGTAAACATCTAACAGAAGCGTAAACATTGGTGAACATCACCAATGACTATAACAGCTTAAGACGCGAACGAGTTATTGTGCGACAACAACACCGTAAAGACTCATCATGTCAATCGCTCAGATTTTTTAACGAAAACTTGGCTTTCTAGACAAGATCTTTAGTAAAAAGCATTTCTTTTTATTTGAAACAACGTTTATAAGGATCTCAAGGCGAATAAAGGGAAGTAAACATCACCAATGACTCAAACAGCTTCAAACGCGAACGAGTTATTGTGTGACAACAACACTGTAAAGACTCATCATGACAATCGGTCAGATTTTTTAAGAAAACTTGGCTTTCTAGATAAGATCTTTAGTAAAAAGCATTTCTTTTTATTTGCAACAACGTTTATAAGGATCTCAAGGCGAATAAAGTAAAGTAAACATCACAATGATTCTAACAGCTTCAAACGCGAACGAGTTATTGTGTGACAACAACACTGTAAAGACTCATCATGACAATCTGTCAGATTTTTTAAGAAAACTTGGCTTTCTAGATAAGATCTTTAGTAAAAAGCAATTCTTTTTATTTGTAACAAAGTTTATAAGGATCTCAAGGCGAATAAAGTAAAGTAAACATCGCCAATGACTACATCCGCTTCAGACGCGAACGAGTTATTGTGTGACAACAACACCGTAAAGACTCATCATGTTAATCGCTCAGATTTTTTAACGAAAACTTGGCTTTCTAGACAAGATCTTTCGTAAAAAGCAATTCTTTTTATTTGCAACAAAGTTTATAAGGATCTCAAGGCGAATAAAGTGACGTTAACATCGCCAATGAACAAAATTGGCTGTAGACGCCAATGAGTTGTGTGAGTCATTGGTGATGTTTACTTCGCTTTATTCGCCTTGAGATCCTTATAAACTTTGTTGCAAATAAAAAGAAATGCTTTTTATTAAAGATCTCGTCCTGGGTTTAAATTGACCCTCAATTTAAAATGTATCTCACTGCTTTTCCCTGTCTTTAAGAATGGGATCTTAATGTGTACAAGTCAAAGAAGAATGAAATGGAAAAAGAAAGCCCTTATTATCGTCTCTCAAGGAAATTTGAGCCAACAAATACATTGCTAGACATGGTTTGATGCTACTCTGGTTTAAAGATTAATTTTGTTGAATTTAACAGATAAGTTACAATTATTTAATATTTAAACCAGAATAAAATCAAACCATGTTTGATTGTCCACCTGGCTGCCTTGTGAGATTTAATATATCAAATTCATTGTTGTCTTTTTTTGCTATACTAGAGTTTAGCCTCAGGAAAGCCAAATCCTGTTACTCCTTCCCTAAATAAACTGGACATGGAGGGATTGAAGAGAGATATTCCCACCAAATATCCCGAGAATATGCCCTTAAAAGCATCTGAAGAGTGAGAATCCTGGTTAGCAAATACCGAGTTCAATCTGTTATCAGTATCTGACAACTACACTTGGCCAGTGGATAAATTGAAGAATACTTCAAGGACTGTTTTAGCCTCAAATGCTGAACTCCCTCATGAACTTTTAGAGCTCAGAGAGAAAGAGATCCAGCCTATCACAGAGGTGAATAATAATTAAAATGCAGCAGTGGACACTAAAAAGCCAAGCCTTCAAACGGTCCTACAGATATAAAAGAGAAATAATTAGAGGGGTCTATTACTCTAACCCCTTCAGCGTCCAGTTATAGATTATACAAGTCCAACTTTAGATATATAATAATGTACATGATAAAATTACATGCTTCTGATTGGCTGAAAACAAGTCAATTCTCATGTAGCACAAATGCAAAGTTGCAACATGAGTGCAAATTACAAATAGAGCAAACACACTTTCAAAATTTTGTCTGTACATTATTAACAAGTAATAACATAAATTTTTTTTGCAATTTGGTCTACTAAGCACTTGTAAATTTTTCAAATACCACGAAATTACACTTGCCCTTCAGGCTCGTGCAAAAAATTTGTTGTCTTTGGAAACTTATTTGTGCTTATTCACACCAAATTGCACTAATAGAATATGACACGGTTACATAATCCATTACCTATAATTAATCAAAGAATAAAATGATAAGAGCAATTGATAATTGATACATCTCAGTCGAAATGCTCACCTAAACAAGCAAATTCTAATGACATGTCTGTTGAATATTTCAGATTTACACAGGCCGTTACAGAACCCCGAGGGAAAGGGAAGCGCCTATTGAAATGGTAGACGATTTCCTCGCTACTCTTCAAGTCAACTGCTTTGTGGCTTTGTACTTCGCCAATTACGATAAACTTCCCTGCATTGGCAAGGTCCTGGCCGTCGAGGAGGACAATTTTAAGGTGCATTACTGGAGAGGCACTTACTATGGAAAATGGACTCCTCAGCATGTTCCCCGACAAAAATCCAGACCATGGGTGGAGATCCTTTCTAAGAGCTGTATAGTGTACAGTTCATTTGAGCTTACGGAAGACAACAAGCTAATACCATCAACAAGAAAATTTCTCAAGGAAAGATATGTTGCTTTGAGGACAAATCAATCTTGAGTTTTTTCCTTTACGCCATTCCTTTCTAAAATTGGGCTTAGCAACTTGTGTAAAGTTACACAGAGTGTCGTAACACATGCGTAGTAACGTTGCTTTAGAACACGCATGTACTGGAATTGCGGCTTAATGACTTGTGTGTTGCTTAGTGGCCTCTGCCTACGTGGAGTTTACAATTAGTTCTCTATAAGTTACAGAGTATACTTGGAATACCACTTGGTATTCTTTTTGCTTTGACACTGTTCAGCAAGATGTGGTAAATGAATCCACCTACATCGATGAAGTCTTTTATTGATCGAGTCGTATCCAGTTGCCACTCTGTGAGGAAAATATATTTATTTATGGATGTTTATTTAGAAATCGATTTCAACCCGAGTCTCTCATCTCGAGGCCGTAGGTAGGACATATATATAGATATATAAGAAACCAACATTTTTTTCCCTCGATGTCGAACTTTCTAAGCCACCGTGTATTGAAACTACTGAAATGTAGCATGGATTTATTGTAACTTAACTCTCCATCCATAAGGCCCTATTGGCTTCCATTACAGGGTAGGGTAAATGCAAGATAAAAATAAGACATTTTTTATTAGTTGTAATTTTTACATATTTCTTTGAGATAGTTCAAAGGAATGGCAGTATAACAGTTTATATTTTCCTCTTTTAAAGTGGAACTAAATTGTTTGATAGATCTCAAAATTTTATGTCATTGAATTTATTATATCTTTTCATTTCATTTATCTGATCGTGTACTAAAGGGACGTGACTTGAACTGTTTATTGTATTTCTTACTTCCTTAACAGATGAGTATAACTACCACATTTATGAAGATGTGCCATTTGATAGTTTAATTATTGTAAATCATAGAGTGATTGAGGATCACTGACCAAATGTTGTGGAATTTTTTTAGTGACTGGTTTTAGTAAGATTGCTAAATGGCTGTATTCATCACTTGATGAGTGTTTCCAGTATTTCTGTGACATCCAGTGGCTGAGTGATTACAGAATTTCTGTGACAACTTTTGACTGAATGATCGCAGAATTTCTGCAACATCCAGTGTTTCAGTGGTCACAGAATTTCTGGGACACCTTGTGACTGAGTGATTGCAGAATTTCTGTGACATCCAGTGGTTGCAGAATTTCTGTGACAACTTGTGACTGAGTGATCGCAGAATTTCTGCAACATCCAGTGGTTGAGTGGTTGCAGAATTTCTGCAACAAGTTATGAGTGAGGGGTCGCAGAATTTCTACGACAACTCGAGACTGAGTGAGCCCAGAGATTATATATTGGAAAAAAATAATCCGCTCGATAACCTCCACTTATTATAGGCTTCATTCCATTCAGTTGATTGAGGACGCTGTGCAACAGCCTGGACTTGCGAATACAGGGCATCACATTGTGGAAAACATCCAGTACTGAGGGTGGGTAGTACCTGGAACAACTCGACCAAATTGGAAAGCAATCTAAGGGGCCATTCGAATATTCTTTTCCATATGTTATGATTAATTATTATAATTATCATGAGATTGGTTACGTAACAAGCTGATCACAAAATTCAAGACATCCCTTTTTTTTCCTAGGTTGTCAACTGAAAGCCATGAATAATACAAGTCATTCTAACACCACTCTTGGCGAAGAAGAATTCGATGATGGGCACGGCGAAAACTTGAAAGAGGTCGATAGAATAATTATGATCGGTGCATACGCCTTTATTTGTCTGTTTTCGCTGGTGGGAAACTCGCTTATCATTCATCTCGTGCGCACCCGCAACAACATTCGAAAGAACGCATTTAACTGGCTTCTCTTCAACACGGCTGTTGCTGATCTCCTGGATATGACAACTTCCACTGCTTTCACGTTGCCAGTTTTCTTCTGTGGAGACTGCTGGATATCAGGGGTTGTAGGGTCCATCCTATGCAAACTCACTCCTTTCCTGTCTGTCGTCTCCATCTGTGTGTCCATCTGGACTCTCACTGTCATTGCCGCTGACCGGTATTTGGCTATCGTGTGTCCGAAGAAGGCCGTTATCACCTCGATCGGTGGTGCGCTCTATAGTCATCGTGTGGTTGCTTGCAAGCTTGATGTTTAGTGGGGAACTTCACAAACATAAATTGATAGAGGAAGAAGGTGAATCTGCCGAGTGTACCACTGAATGACACGAAAACAAAGAGCTCGCACAAATTTCGAGGAAGCAGATATGATCGGTAAAGTCGTCCTCACTTATGCAATACCACTTTTTATAATGGCGGTCTTGTACTAGTCAATTGCATACTTCCTGTGGAAACAAAGACCACCTGGAGCTGAAGTTAAGAGTTGCATCAGCTCAGCGGAGAAGATGGGCCTGATTTTTTAAAAAGGAAAACGTGGATCACTAAAAGTGCCAGGGCAACTTAAAGTTTGGTGTCCAAGTTACACTTTAAACTCAAACTTACCTTAGCACTTCATAATTGCAGCGCTATTGAAGTGCGTGCTTAAATGCCTTCTCATGGATGCAGTTCTTGATACCTTTCAATTATTGTCAAGTCGTTTGTAAACTTTGGAGTTTCTGTGCGAAGATCAAGGTAGAGTAGTTTAGCACTGATGCCTATACAAATATTTCTCGTAGCATTTTTGCAGGTTTCAACTATTTAACGAAAAAACTAAAAAAGCTTATGAACATGAAGATCGCTACTGCAATTTGTTCAATCGTTTGAGTGGCATTTCTAATCTTACTTTTTTATTCCGTTGACACCATTGGATGATCGGATGACATAAAGTTTTGGTTAATATTTACCAAATAGATTCCAAGTTGCCGTGCTTCTGTTCAGTAATAGATCACAGATGACGTCAAAATGTGGTAAGAACATCAGTGACACACTCGACTGCGCCTTATTCATCTGTGCGTGGAAGAATTTGTGGATTTTTGGCGTACTTTGGAAGTTTCGCAATTTGTACTGAATGTTATTATGCAGGGTTACAAAATTCTCTTCCTCCAACTTCCAACGCCTTTTGCTAAGAGAAACAATACTTCTGCTCGTGAGAATAGTGATTTTTGTTTCGCAAGCTGTCAGCGATTTACTTCGTTTGGACCTATTTGAAGAACATGCTTGTAAGCCCAATATCATTAACCCGCTTTCACTTTCTACCCGTAGTTCAGGAAAGCAAAGGCTCATTTTGGATCTTCGACATGTCAACCAGTTTATATACAAGCAGAAGTTTAAATGCGAAGATCTGGGTGTCGCTACGCAGTTATTTGATTGTAATTATTACTTGTTTAAATTTGAACTTACGTCTGGTTATCACCAAATTGAAATTTTCCCGGACCACAGAAAATTTCTTGCTTTTACTTGGGATTTTGGGAACGGGGTTTCAAGATATTTTCAGTTGTGTGTGCTCCCTTTCAGGCTTTCTTCAGCCCCGTATATTTTCACATCGATTTTGAAGCCATGGAGCAACTTCAGAATACCCCGCAACTCATTTACATGTCATTGAATAAGAATAGCGTCTATTGTGTTATGCCTCGAAATTCAAAGCCTCCCGACACATGTAATCGTGGAGGAACCAGGGCATCCCTATAGCTATTTTCCTCGACGACGGTTTAGGAAGGGGAACAGATTTTGTTTCTGCTAAAGTTAACAGTTTAGTCGTCCATTTAGATTTGCTCAAGTCTGGATTTGTTCCTAATGAGGAAAAGTCCCTTTGGGAGCCTGTCCAATTTATCACCTGGTTGGGTGTGATTCTCGTCACTATTGATGGGACTATAAAGGCAACCGACGAACGCATTGAAAAGTTAAACGCTGGCCTTGTTGAGCTGCTGTCTTGTCAACCTCCCCGGAAAGTGCACGTGAAAAGAGTCGCTAGCGTAACGAGTCAAATAATTTCTCTCTCTCCT